GTCACTCTGCAGGCCATGGTCATAAAGCACAGCAGCCTAATTAAGGTATTTTATCTCCTCTCTCATGATAGGGACCAACACTAAATTAAAATACAGGTACTGGAGCCGTAATATCACAGTAATGTTTCCAGGGATGTCCAGCCCATGTTTGCTTCTGTTCAAGGACTATCTGTGGGCTGATATTGTCAGCCTATTGATTTTTAAGTGCATTAGCTGTATCAGTAGCCATAAGCAATAATATCAAAACTTTCCGTATATAGGGGTTCTTTCCAGCTGATGGGTTTCATCCCACATTGGTCTGGTGTCCCCACTGCCTGTATCAAAAACCTGGATTTCATATGTTACTGCATCAACTCTATAAATTCTGTGCGACATCTAGGGCCATACCTGGTCCATGCAGGCTGACCCTGGAATGTGCACCTGTTGTATGTCCCGTGAGCAGAGGGCAGCCCTCCGGCTTCAAGAGCTGTTTTGCCCTCATTTATAGAGCTGAAACCAGGGACTGTCCAGCAGGGTACACGAACTCCCACCTCTCCTGGACAACTCTGGAGGCCTAACTTACTTCAAGCCCCACTGCAGCATCGGGCTGAGGCCTACCATTTGCCAACTTCTGTTTGAGCTCAGACCATTGTCCAGCTTCCTCTGCTTCCCTGTCCTGCTTCCCAGCTCTCTTGACAGTTTCCAGGAGAACATTTCCTTAAGAAAAAATTTGGCATAGGGGCACCTGGGTGGCTCAGTCAGTTAAGCATTGACTGCGGTCAGTCAGGTCATGATCTCGGGGTCCTGGGATGGAGCCCTGCATCAGGATGCCCTCCCTCCACTCGTATGCACTCTCTCAAATAAATAAATAAAATCTTGGGAAAAAGAAAAAGAAAAGAAAGAAAAAGAAAGAACTTGGCACAAATCCTCATCTCGGTGCCTGATTCCTGGTCTTGGGATGTTCTTCTGGAGAACCTGACCTTAGATCCCCTCTGACCAGGCAAGCTCACCTTCCTCCTTGGTGCTGCCTCTGTTCCCAAATGACTGCCACTGCCCTCACACAGAAATACCCTTGTCTTCCCCTGCCACTCTGCCTGGGACAGGGGAGCATAACGATCAAAGGAGGTACTGTAAGTGGAAACACATCTAACCCTATAAAATGCCCTACAAATGGAAATCACTGGTGGTAATGCTTTGTCTCACCCATCCTTCCATATCTGGATCCAGCACCACCCCCTCTAGGAACGGGGGGCCCCCACTCTCCCTGCCACATTTTTTCATCATCCATCTTCTCACCTACAGCGTAAGCTCCATGAAGGTAAAGATTTGCTCTACTCACTGTGGGAGGAATGAGATACATTCACAGGATGTATTTATGCATTCAACAAATATGCGTTAAGGAATGTTTCAGGAATTAAAGGGCCGAAAGCCATGTTAAAAATCATCTAGAGTACCTATAGCCCGGAGAGGATAAATAACTTCCCTAACGTACAAAATAACTCGTGGCAGATTCTTGATCTCTTATCTCCCAGACCTAAGGACTTCCTATCTGAGGCCCCAGCTTGAGGCCCTGCATCTTTTTAGATGGGCAGCTGCAGAGGAAAACGGCAGCCCCTTCTCCTTCAACCAAACGGCTGGCATCTGGGCGGCGGAACTCAACAATAGGCTTTCTAACAAGAAAGGTGCACCAAGATTTTTAGCACCACAGTTGTGGGTGTTGTTTTCATCTCTCCAACTAAGCCTGAATCCCTGGTGGCAAAGACTTACTGAATCCACCTCCCACAGGGTCCTGGGGATCATGCGTGGGGCTGAGCCCAGACGTCAGGAGGAGGCGAACACAGGGGAAGAGCGCAGACACCGGAGTCTCACCGACCTGGCCCCAACTCCAGCTCTGTACTTAGCTCCTAAGTGACCTTGAACAAAGGTGCCAAACTTCCGGCACCTTGCAGAGTACTTCCAGAGGGATAACAGCCCCTGAGTCCCAGGATCACAGGAAGGACGTCATGAGATGCTATACATAAAGCCCTCTGCACTCAGTAAACAGAACCAGCAGTTAACAGTACGTCGTAGCACTGGGAGTGGTAGTAAAACCAGGCTCCATAAACACCAACTACCAAGTAGCTCTGACAGGCCAAGATCGGAGATGTGGGTTGAGAGAATCCCCTGCTATTAACAAAGATACTGTATCGGGCATCTCCTTTTCCCTGTGAAAATTAAGATGGGCAGCGACCAAACGCAGTGCCATGTCTCTCTCCTCCAGAAGAGACCAACCCCCTCAGTTTGCTTTTGGGGTTCAAACCCCATCCATGTGCTCCTGACTCTCAGCACTCTGCTTCACCTGCCTCTGCAGTTCTACTCGACGGAGGCCCAGGGGAGAGGCCCGATCCCCAGAGAGCAGAGTCGGGCTCTCTGCATTTTACAAGGGCCTCCCTTCTGACAGCCTCCCGACTTGGCCCCCTTGGGTGTGTTCATTCATCCAGTGAGCACACGTTGACCAAGTGCTGGGCACAATGATCAAAACCCAAGCCAGAGGAGCTCCCCACCCCCCAGGACCTCCCAGCTCTGAGCGTCCTCCAGCTCCTCTTTCTTAATCAGAGACTCCTCCCTGTAGAAGCTTTCCTGCCTCCTAAGCAACATGAAGACGATGGTCTCATTAGCAGCAATAAAGGCAGGGGAAGTGGAGTTAGAGATTGTCAGCGTCAGGATCCCAGCTCTGCCACTTTGCTTTCTCGTTGTGTAACTGTGGGCAAATTCTTCCCCTCTCTGCCTCACCCACCTCACCTTTAGAATGAGGACAACAATACCTACCAATTAGACTTGTGAGAATGAAATGAAACCCCACCGAAGTCTTTCGAACAGTGCTTGCCACATAGTCATAAACGTTCACTAATACTATTTCACAACTTAAAAAAAGAGCCACTCTCAAATCTAGGATGGCTATTGGGCCACCAACCCAACAGAGAGCTAAGCCTAAGATGGGAGGACTGAAAATGTTCGGATCTACTGCTCTGCTGCAGCAAGACTCTGCTTTTTCTGGCCAAGCCAGCTGAAATCTCTGCTTCCAGGGAAAATGTAAAGACTCTCCAGCAGTGGCCACTAGTTCTATTTGGTAACTCAAACTCAAAGAAGGCTCGAGCTCCGAGAGCATCCTGAGAGCTGAGTCAGCAGGGACGTGCAGGAGGCTCCCTAGGGAGGGTAGGACCTGCTGCAGAGGCTGACCCCAGAGATCCCAGGGAGGCAGCCCATGGCAGAGCATTCAAGGTCAGGACAGGTTCTAGAACCAAAGAACAGTCAAATCAGTGGGCAGGACAGAGCAAGGGAAATCCCGACCACTGCCAGCTTTTGAAATCTGAGATGGTGACAATATGGCCCTGGGCGATCTGTCACTAGCAGCAAGACTCTAGGATATCCTCAGGCCCAGGATATGAAGGAGGGACAGCTCTCAGGGGAGATGGCTGGCAACAGTTAGTCGGGATTCCCTAAGCATGTGCACCTGGATTAAGAACAGTCCTAGCAGGAACCAGGGCAGTAAGCAAGTAAGTCAAGGAAAACTACTTTTGAATTACCCTAGCTGATATGACAGGTGAGTGGGAGAAGGTACACAAAGGAAGAAAAAGGGAAGGGGAATGAGTGATAAGACCCAGAGACTGTGAGTCACTTGGGGCTCACCCCTGACATGCCAGAAGCCAAGTCTACAGCAACAAAAACTTGACCCCAAGCTCCTCCAACAGCGCCACTTCCTTTCACAGCAGATCTGCTGACCCAGCTGTGGGCACCTGTACAGAGCAAAGGAAGGGGAAAATGATAGAGTAGGGCCAGAAGGCAAACCCAAAACCAAAATATTATCAGAGGCAAGCATTCCAGACGAAATCAAGGATCTAAGTGTTCATATGTAGGCTTCATCCTGCAAACCCAGCCCTTCAGATGAAAGGAATCAACAGACGGGTTATCAGAGATGTGGGGTGACACATGGGGCACAGTCCTATTTAGGGTGAAGTCTTTCCTGGAGAAGGTGACTAGTGGCAGCTAACCCGAGTATGTTTTCTATGGTTGTACTCTTTTCTCCCAGCCATCAAATCCGGAGGACAAAATGCCAAAAGCCTCTAGACGTTAGTTCCCACATAATGACCTAAAGGCTCACAGTAATCTTTTTCCACTCCGCATCTTAAAGCACAAATCCATCCCCTGATACTCAGACTTTCCTCCTCCCAAGTCTCCCAACCAGAGCCAGATCTGAGCCCCATGACCCTCCCAGCCACAACATGGCTGTGACACATGAACTTGACAATCGGGGGCCATGCCAGTCTTTGGGGCCTCGGTCCACCAAACTGCTCCAAGGCAGTGGGAAGGAAAGAGCCAGCAGAAAAAAAAAGACTTGAGACTTCCTCCCATACCAGGACAACTCCAGGGGTCCCCAGACCCAGTAACAGAAAGTGGGGGGCCCCTGTCTTTGTGCCTGGCTGCCACAAAACGCTAGGCAAGTCACCTAATTCTGGCCATGTCCTTGATGAAGTCAATTCTAGTGTCTGAGACTCAGCTTCTCACCTGTAACACGAAGAAGCAAAACTAGGTGACCACCAAGGTCACCTCCAACCCAGGATTCTAGGACTCCCTGGTGCAGGAGACCAAAGCAGTCCAACATCTGTCCAGCTCAGGGAACCAGGCCACATTCTCTGCCAGGGAGGGGCCCCAGACTGGAAGAACAGGAGTGGCCACAAGGCCACAGTCATAACAAGGTTGGTGAAAGCAAGCAGGCCTTGCCTTGGAGCTTGGAACCAGCCAGGCCCGCCTCCCCTGGCCTTCTGCGAGTGTTCAGTTCCTGAGTGCAAGAAAAGATCCTGGATCGCCAGGCTCAGGAAAGAGGAGCTTCTTTTTCCTCAAGCTAGTATCTGGGATGGTTCCCTGTGTGCGTGTATGTGTTTACTGTGGGTTTTTTCCCCTCCTCACCCTCAGTTTGATGCTGCCCACAGGAGCTGAGGCGGCTTCCCCCCACCCCACCGCCTTCCCATGCAGCCTCTCACCTGGGGGTTGTCCATGTACCAGAGAAGGCAGTTGGCCTGGGTGTCCAGAATAAAGTACCTCCGCAGAAACTTGCCGCTGTTCTCATGCTCCTCGATGTCCAGAAACCCACAGATTCGGTTCTGTCGATCCACATAAGGCATTCCTGGGCTCTGCTCACATCACCCTGCGTGGCAGGAGGACGGGAGGTGAGGATGAGCGGGATGAAGCGCTCCCGGACTCCGGACCTGTAGGAACTTCACTCTGGCTTGACTCACCGCTGTGAGAAGCTAGACTAGCTCTCTCATCCGCCCTCCTTCCCCAGAGCACCAGACGTTCCACCCCAGCCAGACCCCGGAAATCTCCGACAGTTCTGTTCCACACGTAGCCAGCGAAACGCGTGAGTAGGGACTCGGCTGTTTCCTGAGCTCCGCTGTGTGCTGACGAGAGTCTCTGGCAACTTTACTATGAAGGGGAAGTAAGCCTAGATCAGGGGCCTCGGTTCTAATTCCAGCTTTAGCCCCTTAGTAAGTGTGTGACTGCAAGCTATTTAATCTCTCCGCACCTCAGTTTCTGCACCTGTAAAATGGGGATAATTGTGCTACTTACACCTCCTAAGATTTTGGTGAGAATTAAGTGCCTGGCACACATTAAACATTTCATACACATGAGGTATTATTATTGCCCTTCACAAAAGCCTTGTAAAGTAAGCCATAACCCAATTTTTTAAAGATTTTATTTATTTATTTGACAAACAGAGATCACAAGTAGGCAGAGAAGCAGGCAGAGAGAGAGGAGGAAGCAGGCTCTCCGCCAAGCAGAGAGCCCAATGCGGAGCTCGATCCTAGGACCCTGGGATCATGACCTGAGCTGAGGCAGAGGCTTTAACCCACTGAGCCACCCAGGCGCCCCATAACCCAATTTTATACATAAAGAAACTCAGAGAAGATTTAAGCCCCAACCCAAATTCTCACATAAAACTTTGCCAGGAATTCAGTCACCAGGAGCAAACCTCCAGCTTCATGAAGGAATTAAATCTGAGGGCCACATCCCTCAGCCCTAGCTTCACTTACTTTACTTTGCTGTTACCCAAAAGCCATTTATGACTGGAAGGATGAGGGCTCAGAAGAAGGCCCCAACCGTTGAATACTTCCACTGACTCCAAAGGGTCTCTGGTGATGAGAGACAAGCTTCACCTTCAAGCCAGCCTCCTTTCTCCTCGTGATTTTCTTCTGACTCTCTGAAGAGCCAAACAAAGGGCAGGGGCTCTACTCTCTCAAGGAGGATGAGCACTTTCCAATAAGCAACACAGAGAACAGGTGGAACATGGGCCCACAAGGGTCAGAAAACACCACATGACATTCTGACTTTCAAGGACTAACACCACCCACCACTGGGCCCTGCTTGACTTCAACAGGCAAAACTCACTATGACCAAAGCCCTAAGCAAAGTGGGGAGCTGGCTGGCTTGAGGCCATGCCTGTACCACAATGCTGGGTCAGCAAGTAAGATACCAAGATGCCCCACCCAGAGCCGTCCAGGCCCAGGGCAGGCCAGTCCCACACTCCCAAAGTGTGGCAACTGGTGGCATGGTCTGTTCTCTCCCAGCTCCATGGGGGCCTGGCAGTGTGGAGAGGCTGCCCCAAGGAAAAAAGTGCCCCTTCCACTCTGCGTGTGTGCGTGTGAGCGCACACACAAACACACACAGGTACCAGTGAACAATGAATCCTTGATTGCAGGTTAAGATCAGGCCAGATTCCTGATGGGGACAGAGGACAGTCAGAAGGAACATGGGCCGGGGGCCCACAGCTACTTGCTGGGTAATGATGGGGGACAAAAGAATACAAATATGGGATAAAGGTGAAACAGCACAGTTAAAAGGAAGGAAAGAAGTAAAAGGTGAGAAAAGTCTTCTAGCAGACACCGGGTCAAAGAGAAGAAGGCAGGAAGACTGGCGCTGGTTGGGAAGGAGCATACCCCTGAGAAAGGAGGTAGCTTCCCCACTCAGAAAATCAGGGGGAAATCAGAGTCCCATGCAGAAAGGCTGGGATGACCCACGCATCCCATGCACCGTCCCATGCATAGGTGCCCTTCTGAGATGAGGGAGCCCACCCATCCCCCAAGAAAACCAGACAAATTCCCTTGATTCCAGCCCAGCCACAGAGACAGAATTTCCAGAAGTTTCAGGACCGCAGCCACTCCTGGGACATCTCTACGAGAAAGCATCGAAACTGCAGTAACCAAGCCGACTGTCTCTAGACCCAGCTGGTAAGCATGGTATCCAACTTACTGCTGGCTTGCAAATGTTCCCTTTTCAGCCTACAGGACTAATCAGTGCCAGCCTTTTTGTCAGGTCCCAGGCTAGAGAAGGCACTGTCTACAATCCCCCAACAGTCTACTTTCGTGGAGGGTGCTTCCCATCTCCACGGATCCCGGGTGGGGGAGAATCTTCTTGTTTCAAAAGGAAGGAGAACAAAAAGAATTCTGGTTACTTCTCCTGACTGTGGTTCTAGCCCCAGGGGAAAAAAAAAAAAAAAAAGCTGCTCGGATGTCCTGGGAAGCAGCTGAGTCACGGATCTCATCAAGAATGTGGGAGGCAGGGGAGAAAGATGGGCCACAGGAGAACCAAGCATCACAGGGAAACGCTGTTATGCCTAGCCAGCCCACACAGAAGCACTCAAAAGATGGCGCACAAAACACAAACCTGACGTCCTAACCCCCAATCCTGTCAGTTCATTCTGACCCCACTTTTCATCCCTTGTCAGAACAGAGGCTTAGCTTTGGTACAGGGAGCCTGCTTCTCCCAATTCCCCAACCCCCCATCTCTGCTCTTCAGCCTGCCACCACCATCCTCCAAGTCTCTCTGGTTCCTCATCTTTTTCCTGGAAAGGCCCCCCTAATCCAATGATTTCTGCCACCCCATGCCCAACCCCAACAACTGGGTGGTGAGGGGAGAAAGGGAAGTGCTAGTAACTGAGTCATAAGGGAAGAGAAACACCTTGATGCAAGCATACACACAGTCACCCCAAACACCCCTACTAAGACCCAGGCAAAGCTCTGTACCATTCTTTCTACGTCCCTCCAATTATATAGTTTTAGCCTGTTTTCTGACTCTTTAAAACTACTTGTTATATTAAATTTCATTTTAATCCAAGTTTCACAGTGTAAAACTACTGAGTGGAGGGTAACATAGGGTGCTCTATCCCAGGACTTGTCCCCAACCCATGTCCTAAGTGCCAGCCCTGACAATGACTCTCTCTCCATCTCCTGGGACAACAAGCAAGTGTTCTCACTGGGATGCAGTATCAGATGCCCCTGTCCCAGGCGAACCCCTTCACCTCTGCCCTAAGAGCGTAATGAAACCTCCTGGCAAGTAACTGTGGAGTCTTCACAACATACTGGTGACAAAGAGCACAGAAGATTTGTACAGAAAAGGACCCTGGTCTACCCCACTCAGTACTCTCTTTCCAAAGTTTGCCAAACCTCCTTAGAATTTTCCATTTTTGTGTGCAGAAATCACAGTATAACAATGCTGGAATTTTTTTTTAATTCACTCTAGCCAGTCGTTTTCATTTTTGCATGCTTTTTCATGCCCCTCTCCACATAATTGGCCTTTTTAAATTTTTAAATTATATCATAAACATGTTCCATGTTGCTACATAGTCTTTATAATCATTGCTTTTAACGGTTGCATAACATTACTGAACTGCATTTACTATAATTTACTTAACAATTTCTCTATGATTAGACAGTTAGATTATATTCAATTTTTCATATTATAAATAATGTTATGTAAATTCTTATTTTCATGCTTTATTTCCTCTTTCACATGGAAACAGCATACACAAATTCCAAGCAATTATATGACTAGATCATAGGTAATGATCTTTTACAATTCTTGAGACCTATTTAAAAACTGCTTGCTAAAAGTATTATCTGTTTACATCACAGTCAGCAATATATTGTTACAATCTCTATAATCTTGTGTACATTGAATGTTCTCATTTTCAGCTGTTGCTAGTTTTAAACATACAATGATGCCTAGCGAGGCTGAACATTTTTTCACATTTGCTTCCTGCTTCATCTTCCTTCCTGGACGTTGTAAAATGCAAATCAAATTATGTGCACATACAGTAATGCATATTCTCTCTCTCTCTCTCTCACAAACACACACACACACACACACACACACCCCAAACTAAACCAAAACATGGCCTCATATAATCCAAATAATTGAAGAATGTATTTTAATGAAGAGTAAAATAGAAAAGAGGACAGTTTTATATGATTCAGATTTCTTCAGTGTATAGTTCCTAAGTATGTACTGCACTTGAAAATATGTTAAATATTTAACTTATGGTAGAAGGGAGACTGAGTAAAAAGTGAGTTTGCATTGGGTTACCCACTGATCAGCAGCAGAAAATGGATTAAATGTCAGTTAAACCAAGATTCCCAGCCAACATTTGCCAGTTAACCAGATGAAGCTCGTGGGAGGAGTCAAGGGCTTCCCACCTTAGAATGAGGTGAAGGGCACTGGGATGTATCTGTCCAAAATGTCTCCTTGACTGCCCATTTCAATGTCTTAGCTTCCCTCATTGGAGAAGATTTAAGCCAAGGAAAAAAATAATAAAACTCTCCTGCAGGATTTGAGGCAATTGACATTTTCATCAGGCTAATTATATAAAAGAGAGAGCTGGGACCAAGACCCAGAGGAAATATGCACCAATGAGAGACAGAGGCACTACAGGGTCAAGAATATAAAGAGAAGATTGCTGCTTGAAACAAATGTCATCTACTTGGAAAGATGTGTTAGGATTCTTACACACCTGGGACAGGAACATGAACCTTTGTGGAAAGCAATTTGGCAATAGGTAACAAGAGAGCTAAAAATGTTCATACCCTTTGACCCAGTAATTCTACTTCTAGGATTCCATCTAAATAAATAAACTAAGATGCAAATAAAGATTAAAATTTTTAAAAAGGCATCTCCAGTAGAATTCATAACAAGGTGGAAATGACCTGAATGTCCCAATGATTAGAGGATAATTAAATAAATTATGATACATTTACATAAGGAAATGTTACACGATCATTTAAAAATTATGTTTTCAAAGAATTTTAAATGAATTAAGGAGAAACTCACTATATCATAAGTTTTTTTTTAAATATGACTTACAATATGATCTCA